AAAGGGGCCGACCCCAAATAGTTGGGAAAAATAAAAGAAGTAGATTATTTATTAAACTTTTTTGCAATTCTTAACAATACATTATAAAAAACAAGAATTAAAACAATTTTTAAAAAAATACAATACCTAAATAGGTTACTTAAAAATTACCAAAATTTATTCAATTTAAAACATATTATGATGACAAAAATAATCAACAAAGAATTCCTTCGTGCTAATAATAAATACTTAACATATTAACATGAACAATTTAGTTTAAGCTAATAAATATTTATTATAATTTACAGCAGCTACCAATATAATTTTAAATTATCGAATGATTTTTTTTTTTTAAAAATCATAAAGAAATGTTAATAATCATACAACATGAATACTAGATATTTATAATAAGTACATATAAAATACATTAAAATAATGAATGTTTGTAAGCAACCTTTACTAGATTTTATTACTAATTAACCAATGTTAAAAAAAGTATTATAACCAATTATGATAATAAAGAATTAACTTCTTATTTTTTATGTAATAATAAACAATATTATCAAAATAATACACTGGAGTATAGATAAAAAATAACTAAATATTGTACATAACTTTATAACAATTTTTTATGAGCATGTAATAATGAATAATTGTAGAAGTGATCATTAATTATTAATAATTAAAATACCTAGGATGTTCAAAGTGGAATATGAGATATGTATAAATCAAAAATTTCAAGGTAACCACACAATGTGCCATGTAAAAATTTATGTAAAATACTAAAAATAATAAATTTATTATAATAAAAATAAAAATATATATAAAATCTAATAATTTTAAAAGATTTCCTCTTCAAAAATTATTAAATACTACATACAAAGTCCTTAAGTCATTAACTATTTATTACCCAACACTATGTATGCAATGTAAGCTAAATTTGAAAAAAATTCTTTGTTAACAATAACTTTGGACAATTGCAAGAGGAAATAACTGAAAAAAAAGTAAAAGAAATGTCTGAATCCACTTAGAGTATTGTCATAAATAATAATAAACATATAGAATGACTCAGGCAACATCTCGAAACTACTTAATCAGAACAGATTACAGCTGATGAAATACCTCTATTTATACTTTGATTCAAATTTGTCATACATAAATGTATTCAAGAGCTTTTATTTAAACGACATTAATTAGTTTGTTTTATTTTCATTAGTTTTTAAAAAAATCAGTCTTATAAATGTATAATTTTTTTCTCATTTAAATAATCATGATATAGAAGAATTATATTTTATGTACATTAGTTTGAATTATTTTAACTAAAAATATGGTAATAATAGAAAGTATAATAAAAACTATTATAATTTTTAGGTAAAAATAATGTTAAATGCAAACAGAAATAGAAATTTTAGTAATTAATATATTAATACTCTCTAAATGTACCTAAATTTAATATAATTATTTAGTTCCAGTTCATGACTAGAGTTTTTTTATGATACAAAAATACATCCAACCTAATAATAATATTGTAATTTTCCACATTTATTTAGTATCTATTAGAGCTTTTATAAGATTTTTTTTTACAAAATCTAGCAGTCCAAACAAAAAATCTAATTCAGTCATTAACTGACATTTTATAATTTTAGTGTAATAAAATCTTATCTAATTAATACCTATAGAATTGAAATAAAAATAACATTAGTTAGGTATTAACATAATTAATATTATAATACATTTAAAAAATCTAAAGCATCATTTTTGTCGCAGAGCAAATACTCCTTCTAATTTTTTCTTATGATCATCTACATCTTTTGATCATACTCTTACACTAAAATACAAATAACATTTATTTAAAAACTGACATCATTCTTATATTCAATAAATATATGGTAATTCATAGCAGATATTTTCTTTTGACTTTTTTGAATTGCATTACCAATTTAGTACTGTACAGATTATACAAATGAACCAATAATGCCTTGTAAAACATAATACATATAATTAGCATATTAATTAACAGAAATCAAATTTTAAAAAACTATATTTCCTAAACAATGTATTATTTTCATAAATGATTTGGTAACTTTAAAGACCAAATTAAACTATTGCCTCAGTAACTATCAAAAAAATGTTGAGTCGAAATGGATAAAAAAAAAAAAAAAACAGCAATATTTAAGTTACAGAATCACAAGGAAGCCAACGGTAATTTTCGTTCCAATCTTCAAAACTACTATGGTGATAGTAATTATGTATACATATATATATATATACAACTAAGGCACTTGCATTCTAAATTTCCTATGATCAAATTGCAACTTGCTCAGAAGAGAATTAAAAAATTATCAGTCTTCTTTTCCTTCTTGTAATCCTACAAGAATTTTCGTTAGTAAAATATAACTTCTTTAAATTGGTACATTTCTATTAAATTTCATTAGATCTTAGAAGGTTAGCAAATTAAAGTTATATTGAAGAAAATATCAAAATACTCCACCAATTTTAAAAAAATTTATCAACTACCTATTTTCTCTAACCTAACTTTTTTTTTTAACCAACTAAATAATTTTAAATAATTCAATTTTTATCAATTATTTAGATATCAATGTTAGGTTGGAGAGTGTACAAGTATGAAGTAGGTACCTAAATAATTGTAATTTGTAATGTATAAATTTGTATAGATGTAACACCCATCTAAATCAATGAATTCCTTAGTTATTATTATACCTATTCGTGATTACTGAATTGAATATGTTATGATAATTATTTAACAGGAAATATTTGAATTCTTTATTCTTTGGTACGTTTTATAAATAGGTACCTATAGATAAATAGTAACACAATAAAATTGAAATAAATCTACTTTTTCGTACACAAGCTGTTTTATATTTTTTTTTACCAATTTCATTAAACAATAAATTAAAAATCAATGTAGCTACATCATAATAGGGGATCAGAGTATTCACTATGCTATTTTAAACTTTGGTTTTAATTAAGTATCTATATATTTTCCTATATTTATAACTAATTTATAAAAGAAATGTTAAGGATCTGCAAATAATATTACCATTTTTATCTAATCTATCAAAATTAGCTTATGTATATCAATGATCATAAATGCTAATATTCAACATATAATATAATATTGTTACTAAAACATTATTTTTATTGTTTTTTTTTTTTTTTTTTATCAAATTAAATCTAAATAAAACTATAATCTAATAGAATATCAAGCTGAAATATACAAAAACTTGATATAATATTTGAAGAAAAAATATACTTGTTATTGGAATACATAAAGATAATTTACATTCATTTATTTATGGTAAGAATATGTGCATATGCTTTTATTAAATTGATAAGAGAATTTTGAAAGTTTAAACTATTAACACACGTGTCGTATGCTATCTACCAACAAATTGTCGGTGTAGTATGCTATCTACCGTTATCTACCGTAATCCGTATTGATAGTATCAATATTATATTTCTATATATTTCAATATATTATATATATTTTTAATTCCTTTAAGAATTTTAAAGTTTTGTATCTTAGTATTTTAAAATTTAGTATGTTTGTAGATCCCCAGGTCAAATGTCGTAATTGTGTGTTTTTTTTAAACAGTTTCACAGTAAAATTCTGTTTCATAACAAAAAAATTATAGATCCACATACAGATGCTCAAACACACACTATTGAATGTTTATGTAAACACATGAATGTAAAGTATGGAATCAGAGCTCGTGGAGTGACCCATCTTCTTGAAAGACAATTGCAAGAAGAATGGTGGAGATCCGTCAATCGAAAAAATGTTTTTTACAAGATATAAAAAAAGATAAAAAAAATATGAACAACTGTTAACAGGCTATTTAAAATAGGACAACTGTGAACCAACAGGCATTGATATGTAGGCGTAGATTTTTGTAGATATGATTTTCTTGGTAAATAGCATACGACATGTGTGACAAACTATTTTATATAAGTCAAATACTTACCAAAAGCATTTTAACAATTCAATATTTTAACATTAAGTTGTAATGATGTTGATTCAAATTAAAATCAAATAGTCATATTACAATTTATATTGTTAATCTCAAAAGAAATTTATTTTTATATTTTTTATTTGTATTTACCGCCATATGCACAAAAAAAATAGAAATTGATGAAGAAGGTTCAATGCATAATATTAAGTTCCAAATGAATTATTAGAAAACCATCATGGAAAAACCTGTAGAATCTACACCTTTGTTAACATGTACATTGATCAAACATTTGAATATTAATTTAGTTTATTTCATACACATATAGGTAATTATAAAACTTTGACAACATGTGGATAATAAGACAATATATAAACAAGAATTAAACTCTATGATAGCGTTCAATACAAATCAGGTATAATGTATTTGTGCTTACAAGGTAAGCAGTAGGTAATACTAGTTTTATGGAAAATATAGAAACCAATTTCAACTGGTATCTAAATATTTTTAACATTTTAAGTTAGAAAAACTATATGTTATACAGATTAGTTTATAAATAAGCTAATCTATACAACATACAAAAGTGACTTCAAAAGCACTTTCAATTTAGAATATATTTGAACCCTCCCCCCCACAACAAAAGGGTTACACTGTTGTGCAATTCAAAAGTATTAAATCACAAAGCTTAAGTCTCGGATTAAAATCAAAATTCTATAGGGAAGATGTTTAAAATGATTATAATTCGCATGTAAATATATCATATACGATGCAGTGCGACTGTGGAGATGACATTGCATAATGTAAGACATTGTAATACTGTTCACCAATATTGGTAATTAGACATGGTACAAAAATGTGATTCAAAGCATAGTCCAGCACGATCGCTATACATACATTTTCGTCGACACCTAATAGGCCAGAGATTTTATAGGAAAACGCGTACAGCAGAAAACAGGATTACTAATATGTAGTATACATGTATAACTGGTGATGTGAAGCAGCCTACGTGAACACCGGCGATTAATTATTTCTAACACGTTGCGCACTTACCTCTACGATTCGAAGGCTTTAAGTGAACAACAACGACAACGTTGACGATGGAGCCGACGTAAATGTTGACGAAACACGGACCGTCCGTCAGTTGACCGGACCTCAATTGGAACAGATTAATTCGCACACACACATCGCGCGCACCGCCGCGGCCAGTTGTGAAAACGCACACACACAACACTAACGGTGTGCGTATCGTACACACGCGCGCATACGGGTTAATGAAACGTACACACGCACGCACGCACGCCCACCGCGACCAAAAACCAATGCACGGGCAAAAGAGTGTAGAGAAATCCGTGTGTAAAAGACCAGCGACGCGACTGCGAATATTGTGCTCGGCGACTCGGGTGACTGATGTGCGGTGTACCCCGGTCGAGTGGAAAGGAAAGCGATCGAGTGCTGCTGGCAGTGGAGTACGCCGTGCGCCGTTCGGTGTTGAACGTTGTCGGTGAACGTACCGCAGATCTCCGCCTGAACTGGGCTAGCCTGTGACGTCGGCGCCGTTAACTTCGCGCCGAACACGGGCAATAATCACGGTAGCGCGCGCGTTATGAACTCGCGTTGCCCCGTGTGTAGTGTGACGGCGCGCAGCGCATTTCGCGGTTACGGCCGAAAGGTATGTTCGCGGTGCGGTCTCGCCCTACACACGCACATATCAGTGACGTCACAACGCGAAACCGTTCAACGTACCCTCGTCGAAATATAAACACTGATTAACGTAATTGCAGGCTCGCCATTTACCGGATTTGGTTATTGTTTCGTGATTTCAACCTACTCACCAACTCTAAAAAGTTTCTTTTCTATTCCATAGCTACCATGATAGTTATACCCGACTTATTTAACCAGCCGATATTATTAGCAGCGAAAAAAACATAAATAAAAAAAAGAGGAAAAATTGTAAGAGAATGGTGGATAAATAGTTGACGTGCAAACTAGAATGAACTTTGACAATATAATTCCGACTGCCGAAAAATTACGTCTGAATCATAAAAATGTCCATATTCAGACACACGTCCGCGTAAATAACATTGATGGGAGCACCACTGGTTATAAATGTATGATTTATAATGCATTATTAATCACCATAAAATATTATCAAATAATAATTCGACGTTTCGTTCAACAATAGTTGCTAATCGAATGAAAAGAAAAATTAACGAAATCTTATATTAAAATCAGCAGTATATGGTTGGCCAAATACAATATGTAAAAAACAGATAATGTTTGAATATTTTTTTTTTTCACATAGAACCATTTTGATACTTTCAAATTGGTATGATTTTTTATACAAACGTTTTAATTAACAAGACTAGACAACAACATTTTGTCGACAAGACATTTGAAGTTTTTAATTTATTTTTATTATTATTTTTTATTATTTTTCGAAAAATCAACATGTCATATAATGTAATGCTGAAGATTATGACTTTCTCCGCCGCCGCGGCACGAATAGCTAACACGATATCAAGGTTTATGGATAATTCCAAAATAATTGAATATAAAACGAAGAAAATAGAGCTGGGAATAAAAATAAATTGAGCTAGAAAAGAAAAAATTAAAAGCCAACATTAAAATTATAGAAACGCTGATGAAATTACGAAAATAATAAAATTAAATAATTTTATATTAATATTATATTTTTTTAATAAATTAAAAATTAAATTATTTAAAGTATTATTATTTATTTATTTAATAAATATTTATTAATTTTAATTAATTATGAAATACTAAATTAGTATGAAATCAAATTTTTTATACCAACATTTTAATTAACAAGACAACAACATTTTATTGACAAGGACATGTTTTGTACTGATGATTGATAAGATTGTTTATGTCGTTTGCGCGCAACAAATAACTTCAGGAGTAATTCGCTATATTACATAGGAAATCGAAGTTGAAAGGATGAAAATTGAATGTGAAACAGAGAAATTAAAGGGAAAAATTAAAATAATAAAAATCCTAGCTAAGCGATCTTGATATTGACATTGTTACAGCTTTGAAAATAATTGGAGAATGAAATAAGTATTCCTATAACAATAAGGGAAATTATATTTATTATAGCAAATTTGCGTTCAATAATTCAAATTTTGTGATGTTTGTGTTAATATTAGAGTAAACTGGCCCATAATCAAACTTTAAGGGAAGAACATTATATGTGTTTTACTAGTCGGTATTTCTGATGATTTGATTTTTTAGCAAATTATAGGTTATTTTAATTTAAATATTTTACATACCCATAACACGTTTAAAAATTAAAATATCCAAAAAATCCGACAAACAAAACACAGATTCCCTTAAAATTTAATTATAGGTCAGTTTGCTCTAATATTAAAGCTAAAATCACTACATTTGAACTACTGAACGCAAATTTCATATATTGTACCATTGTACCTGAATATGACTGAGCGCACGGCAGTGCGCCGGCCAAGTTCCAGCAATGCCAGTGTATCTTTACACGAACCAATTCACCCGGTTATTCTAACTTATATACCTCTATTTCCTCTTAAGATAAACTTTTAAAATTTAAAACACAGATTAATCTCGAATAGCTTAGGATGCTATAAGAAAATGAGCCCTTAATATTGTACCATTTCGAAATGGGAGGATTTTAAAATTTACAATTTTGTTACTCACTCACTCACTCACTGATCATCAAAATTATAAGACAATTCTCGTATAGCTAGAAACGTGAAATTCGACACAAAGGTAGGTTTTACAGTGTTACTAAAGGGAAAAATCTAAAAAATAATTTTTTTCAAAATTAATGCCGCTTTAGAGAATGTATTTCTAAACGTATGAAGTAGTGCACTTAGCACACATAAACATTTTCTTTCAAATAGCGTTACAGTATGGTAATATGAAATTGTAGTTGACTTATACTCGTATATATATATTTACGAAAACATAATAATGTTTTCGTAAATTTATTTTATTCAAATACAGAATAATTTAATAATTTTCGTCAGTATACAGACGATAATTTTACGTAGTAACGTCATAAGAAAACATTGATAAATGTATGACTATCTATTGATCAATGTATGACTTAGAACGGATTCCGACCAAGTTCGAAATCATCAGCCGAGCTTATGCGCACCGATATCAATTCCCCATTTGTTTAGCTTATGCCATTACCATCCATCAGAGTCAGGGATTAAGTTTGCCAAATGCTTTGTTAAATGTTGGCAACTCAACATTCTCGTGTGGTCAAGCATACGAGGCATAAAACATCATTATCGAATGTACTCATTTATAACTTACGTGGGTGATGGGGAGAAAAGAACTCAGAAAAAAGAAAAAAGGTTTAGATTTCTTCTCAAAAAAGACAGCGAATCATAGTATGTAGTGGTATCTATATTGCAGCCAAGTCTAGTTTATGACTCATTCAGAAACTGACCAAGTGTTAAACAATACAAATAAAAGAGGAGTGTTGCTCTTTAATGTTGGAGTGCAATGAGATTATGAATTAAAAAATACCAGACTTGGCCACAATGTAGATTTCACTACTTTGATAGGTCGACTTTTTTGGGAAGGAATTTGGAACTCTGCTTTTTTTCACCGTTAGGTTTTTTTTTGGGGATAAGATAAAAATTAAAATATTTTTAATTTTTATTTCCATAGATGTGATTCATATTTCTTAAAAAATTAAATTTTAAATATACTGTGTGTTTTACTTTTTAAAATTCATACTCGTACATATAAGAATTCATATATTTTTTAGTCTTAACGCATACGGTTCTGATTTCTGAGCATAAGGTAATCTTATCAGCAAGAAAATAAATAATACGTTAGTTTTCTCAATTGTTTTTAATAAATGGTGAAATAATTTTTCTTATCTTATCTTGTTTATTCCTCCAATTATATGCACTAATAATAGTTAAAATTACTGTACTTATTAGTTAATACTTCAGAATTTAAACATTTTATACAAAGAACTATGATTATCAATTAAATTAAAGGTATATTTATTCTGAATCATTATTAATTTACCTATATAAAATATAATGAGGGAACTAGGAAATCTTGCTGAAAAATATATTCTTTGTAAAAAACTTGCCAAAAGCCTCGCAAAATTTAACACCGGCTCTAATATAGTCGTATAAATAATTTAAGATTTAAGTTATTTTTATGACATACAAGTAGTCATATTAGTATTCAGAAAAGTTTTCTCATTAATAACTTCCTTAAAATAAAATATTTAATTCAAATATATATACTTATCTCAAATCTGCAATAACTTTTCTGATTACACGTTTAAATGTGTTCCATAGTTAAATAAATTTTTTTAAATTAAATAATTAAATAATTTATATATTAAACAGTTAATATTGATGAAAGTTAACACTTAAAAAACACAGTAAAAGCTTCGATCACAGGAGCCGATAACTAATGTTCTATTGCTAGGCATATTTGCACAGGTACTATTCACAAAATGTAATTGATAGTAGAGAAATGTAACGATATAAATTATAAACAAGTTCAGATCATTATTAAAAAATAAAGATAATTTAGACTTAATAATCCAAATAGAAATTACAGAAATAATTGCTGTCAACAATGTCTCTTGTTAACATCTGCAGTAGATTATAATAATTATTATTCTAAACTAAAAAGTGAAATTATATCATTTTTATTACTCTATCCATAAAGGACGGATACTTTTAACAAGCCACTAAACTGAAATACACTTCTCTCCTTTTTAATTTTCATTATGTTTCCTGTAATTTTACATAATACATATTATCAATTAAAATTTACAAAGCACTATCGTCAAAACAGAACGTTTTTCAGTAGTTCGTTTTAAAGACAAATAATCAACTATTATTCAAAATAAATATATTTAAATATATAATATTATGACATTTGAAATACATAAATACAAATATATGTACTAAGATTTTTTAACCATAGCATTTTACGCAAACTGCATATAATGAATACAGTGTATACTGCTGAATTTTAAACATAAATTTTCAATGTTATAAGCTGACGCTGATTGTCCTTTGGCAACGTGCCCAGTATATTGTCCGGAAAAAATATTCCACTTTAGTATTTTATGTTTGACTGTCGACTTGAAACAAGTCTAAATTTGTAGATCTTCAGTTGCTGGAGGTGTGATTTCTTTACTATTTTCAAAGATTTACTACCCTACTGTAATACCAAAATAATTTTCCATTCCAGTTCTTGGCACATTACTCTCAACTTTAACATATTAATTGCCATCTACTTCGTTTAAAATTTTTACGTTATATAATTATTTACAGTGATGATTACTGAGTGTCATGTCAGTGTTATATAATATAATACATATACGCACGAGAGTTGAGGATTATATCTACCCACACAAATGACTAACCTACGCATAAACTAACTTAAAATATATATAAAATGATTACTTTTATTGTTATAAGCTTTTTTTAAACTATTCCAATAAACGCACGATTTTTAATCTTGTCACACAGCTTAGAGGTCTTCCTTATTATGAGTGACAGAATGAATAGTCATAAACTATAATTTAGTGTTTTATTTAATCTCTAATTAGTTTTAAAATGTTATCAGTGGCGCCCAGACAGTATAC